ATTGGCTCCAAGGAAACAACTCCACGGGGAACAGTTATTGCACATGCACAGCTATTTGTGAGGTGTGAATCCAAAACCATTTGATATTTAATAGAGAACTCAGACAACAGATGGCAGAGCTAGGGCTGCATCCACACTGCAGAAATAATCCTGGCTCAATGCTATGGCATTCTGGGAACTGAAGTTTGTGCTGGCCCCAGAGCAGATTATTTCTGCAGTATGTTTTGGACCAAAGTCATGAAAGCAGCAGGTTCTCTTGTGCCCTATATTCTGCTCCAAGGGAGCTTTCAAAAACTTTGAAATCAGAATATTAACACCAATCCTCCACAGGCTTACTAACAAATAAGGTTTACTTGAATACAGTGGAATTTACTCCTAAATAAATATTGCACTAGAATCTCCAATTTTCAATGGGATTGTAGGAATGCAGATTCACTTTGAATATCACACATCTCCCTGGCCATTTTCACACACACACACACACACACACGCACACACACACACCCCTTAGTATGCCAAGGGACCTTGTAGCACTTTTGAGACTAACCTTTGAGAATCCAAGGTGCTACAAGATCCCTTTGCAAACTGATATTTTCCAGACTAACAGAGCTATGTCTCTGGATTTTACACACAGTCCTTAAAAAACACTCACCCAAGGTCACTAGGGCTGCATCTGCACTGCAAAAATAATCCAGTCTTTGCTGTGGTGGCACAACAAATTAAAGTTCCCAGAATTCCACAGCACCGAGCCATGGTAGTTAAAGTGGTGTCAGACCGGATTATTTCTGCAGTGTGGATTCAGACAAAGTCTGTGGCAAAACAAAGAACTGAATCCATGAATCAGACAGCTCTTAACAAGGAAAACTAACTGGTGGACTAGTTTTCTTTTGTCTTTGCTCACCCAACCTGGCCTTTCTCTCTTCTGTTGTTTCTTCTCATCCTTGCCACTGAAAGTAGGAAGAAAAAACACTAAACTGCTGGCTTTTCCTTGAGTCCCCTGTTGAACTCCTGCAATAATTTGAGCAAAACTCACAAGATTTTTTGAAAAGCAATCTGGGCAGCATGAGCAGAGATGTCTTCCTAAATGCAGAGGAGGGCAAGGCATCACAAAATGTAGGGCTTTCAAGAAAAAATAAATATGTAGGACATTCCAAAACAAAAGCTAAAAACACTAATATAAACATGCATTCGCGCTTCATAGGCTGCAGCCATACTGCAGAAGTAATCCAGTTTGAGACTGCTTTAACTGCCCTGGCTCAATGCGATGGACTTCTGGAAATTGTAGTTTTGTGAGACATTTAGCCTTCTGGTGCCACAACAGACTACAAATACCAGGATTCCATAGCACTCAGACATGGCAGTTAAAGAGATCTCAGAATGTGTAGGGCATGTAAAAAATAAATAAAAAGAGGTTATGACAAAATAAAAGCTAAAAGCACTCATATAAATTCATATCCTTGAGACTAAAGGAAGTACAGTTGTCCTTCCACATTCTCTGGGGTTAGGGGCACAGGACCCCCATGAATGTGGAAAACTGCAAATAACAAAAACACTGTTTTTACCTGAGAGAACACCTCTCTAGGAATCTCTAGGTCCTCCAGTGCAACTCTGTGGTCAACATCTGCCAGAATTTGACCACAGAATTATGCTGGAAGACCTACAAATGCCCAGAGAAGTGTTTTCTCTAGGAATCTTTAGGTCCTCCAGTGCAACTCTATGATCAACTTCCAGAAGAATTGCTCTGGAGGACTTAGAGATTCCTAGAGAAAGCATATTAATCAAATCCATGAATAATCAAAGCTGCAAAAGTAAAAAAGGATGAGTGTAGACTTAAGTCTAGGAAAGCTCATGCTGCCCAACTTCTTTCTTTCAGGGCCCCTACAGACCCGTCCAAAGGGCTGGCCTGGAGGCAGAGATGGGGAGGGGTAGCCGCACGCCGGCTGCCCCAACCTCAACCCTACGGCGACGACGTCCTGATGCTGAGTGCCGTTATGCACGGCGCACAGCGTCAGGACGTCCTTCCGGAGCATCATTTTGACACGCTGCGCTGGAAGGGGCGCTAAAAAGCCGCGCACCAGCTCTTAGGGCGGCCTTTTGCTACCCATAAAAGGAGCGGCATTTTGCTGCCCTTTTCTGGGCGGCAAAAGGGAGGATCGGGGCCATGCAGTCCAGCAGCCCGTTTAAAAGGTTGTCAAGTCATGTCTGCCCATAGAGGGTAGTGCTCATCTCCATTACTAAGCCGAAGAGCCAGCATTGTCAGAAACTACTCTGTGATCATGCCATCAGCATGATTGCACAGAAGGCTGTTTACCTTCCTACCAAAATGGTACCTATTTATCATTGTATTTGCATGCTTTCAAACTACTAGGTTGCCAGAAGCTGGAATTAGTGACAGGAGTTCACCCCATCATGCAGCACCTGGGCCTCAAACAGGCAACCTGTCGATCTTGCAATCAATAGAGTCAGCATCTTAACCACTTGAGCCACTGCATCTAACCATTCCTATAAATTCATGCTTCTTTTGTTGTTGTTAACTGCCCTCGAGTCAATCTCGACACATGGCAACCTTATGGATGAGACATCTCCAAGACCCTCTGTCCTCCAC